CCCCCCCCCCCCCCCCCCCCCCACCTATTTCCCCCGCTGCCCTATTTTCTTCAAGCTACTTAACTCTGCTCTCTGTCTCTACCGACTCCATTTGGTGGATTTAAAGAAAAAAAAAGAAAAAAAGAAGACTGTTAGTTTTGTATTGACGGCCATTTTGGTTTGTAGTCCCCAGTCAAACCCCTCTCCGCCCCCCTCTCCCCATCTGCCCCAGTAGATATCTGACAGTACAGCAGGACTATGTTGCTACAGTATATAAACTGCCCTGAGGACTGCCACTTCCCAACCAACACTGCAATGTCTTCAGCTCTGTGTGATCAATGTTTTTAGACTGTTAAATTGTGTACATGAATTTAAAAAAAAGAGAGAAAAAAAAAAAAACACCATCAAATATTAAAGTCAAAATGTTTTTTTTTCCTGTTTGGTTTGAATTCTCTTTATTCTTTCTTGTTTTATTTTTTAAAAACACATCTTCTCACTGTTACCGCAGTCTGGCGATATGCTGTAATTAAAAAAGATAATAATAATGATGATGTTTCGTTGGTCAAAGTTTTCACATGTCCGCTAGCAAATTGTCAAGAAAAAAATAGTACAATAAAGACTAAAATCTAACAACTAAACTGCAAGTCATTGTGGGCTTTTCTATTTTTGTCTATATAATTGAAGTGTGTGCATCCGGGCGGGTTGGAGGGACAGGGCAGAGCGGGGGATGTTCATTAATCTGTGTATCGATAATCTCATCCTTTTACGTAATAGGTGGAGTTCTTTGTATTAAAGTAGATCTGCATGTATTATCTGGCAGCAGGCTGCTGGTGTTTCTTGTAGAGAGGTGTGGACGTCCATATGCCAGCCCACCACCACTTACACTGTGTTTATATTTCTCACATTTAGATAAAACTGTAAAAGGACACTGTGACCCTGAGCCTTTTAATCACACATGTTTTAGTACATTAATTACCATCGAAATCTAAGTTATTTTAGTTGATAATAAAGAACATGCAGCTTAGGTTAAACAATGTCACAGTCAAGCTACAAGCATGTTCTCTGTATGGCCAAATGTATGTGGGCAGCCTCGACGACGTACTTAGTGCACTGGGGCTGTTAATCATGGTTTGATCAAAGCCCCTTTGTTCCTATGAAGGAAAATCATCATGTTGCAGCATAAAGTGTTATTTAAGAGTAGGCCATTGATTTACCAACCAGGACATCCAAAGGGTCACCAGAAAAATCGGAGGGGTTACAAGATGGTTAGCAAGATAGAAAATTACATTTAGGATTTGAAAAGTGTCGAAGAGCCAGTTTGTTGCAGAATCTGCCCTTTCATGAACCACTTCATTTCCAACAGTCTCACAGCAATTGTGAAATGGTCACAAAATTGAAACCTAGTGTTTGTAGACATGGACTCAAATTTTCCATTTGTTTCTTGTCGCTCAGCTCAAAAATAATGCCAATGGCAAGCCAATTAGAATCCTTTTTCAGGGTGGACACAGATTAAACGCATCTACTACATGTACAACGATCAGAGGAAATTATGTGTTATGTTATGTTATTATGTTATGGGAGGGGTCAAACATAGGACTTTCAACCATGAGACCTGTGATCGAGACTGCGTGTTGTGAAATACTTCAGAAAAGTGTGACTCTTGTACCTTGGACAATATTGTTTCACAAAATCACAATCATTCTATATTGACAGGCAGGTGGATGCTATTTGCAATCAGCATACCGCCACTCCCCCATTTCTCTACATTAAGAAATACGCTGGGCGAGAGGTTTATCATGGAGAAAGCGGTGAAGCTGTTATAAAAGAAGCATACCCCTTCTGAAGAAATGCAGACAATAGTGTAAGGATTACAGATACTTGAACCCAAAAGCACAACTCGGAGACAAGATACAAGTTCAGTTCTTTTACTAGAGTTCAGACAGGGTCAAAACCAGGAGGTCAGTCAAACAGGCGAACAAATCCAATAAGGGGCAGGCAAAAATCCAAGGTTGAAAACAGGCAGACAGGGTTGGAACAGGCAGACCATGAACAATATAACGGTACGCTGGAGAACTTGGCAAAAACACACAAGACAATCTGGCAGGGAACAAGTGCAAGAGAGGGGACCTAAATAGTGAGGGCTA